CAGTACGTGATTGAAATATAAAACTTAGTTGCGCGCGTGGTATATATTTATAATTTATTATTCATACAATATTTGACCGGGGTCGATTAAAAATCAATTAATTCTACATGCATTTATACGAATATAATTATGAATTGGGGTATTCGAGATTGGTGTAATAAAGTCGTAAAAAATGAAAAAAAAAAAATAATGAATTCTACATAGACACGGTGTTGAATTTATTAATGTCTTTAAGCTTTCTTCGTCTTCGTAAATTGTACTTGTTTTTTTTTAAAATAATTTTCAAATGTTATCACACATTTTATTATATTTCGATTTTTATTTTGTTTTAGTAGTTTAATATCAGCATTAACGTCAGAGGTTAATTTTGTCCAATTTTTATTTAAATAAAAATAAAATATTTTCAAGTACACTGTGTCACATTTTTTCCTTGATCACTTTAAATATTTTTGCAAAAATATAATCTTACATAGTATCCTCTATAGAGGTTTTTGAATAAATACAAGTCTAGACTCTTGATATTTGTCTATGTTTAATTAATATAGGCACCTATCCATCTTTACTGGAATTAATTAAAATGATGTTTTACTAACTGCGCCATAATTTTATGTAACATAAATAACCACAAACATGAATTGAATAATATTAAATGTTTATTAATTATATTCCAGTAGTCGAAATAACAAATAATTATTTATTAAAATGTCAAATGAATATTAATAGGTTCATTTTGAATACTTTATGTACGAGGAAAATTTTCACTTAGTACGGTACTGCGATATTATATAATGTTTTATTACTTTTGTTGATGAGGCACAAATGTATGTTTGATTGGTGAGCGACGTTATTTATTTTTGCAGATGAAAAAGGTCATTCACATATCCTACTGTGTACCCATTTGTGATCAATAACATGTTTTTGATAACAAAATATTTGTACCCACTTCAAGGACAATAAAAATATGAAAGATTTTTTACATTCATCATCATACTTGGATTTAACCCACGGTATTAAAATTTTACAAAAATCTACAAATATTATTTAAATTTCATGTTTACCCTGCAGTTTTTTTGCCGTTTTTTGATGTCTATGAAATACTTTTTTGGTTCAATCGTAATATCTTGGCATATATTTATTCATTCTTCAGAATGATATTTTATTAATTATTAATTGTACATTTATGTTTATCTTCATTTTCACAAGTTATAAGTTGTTTTTAAGATATTTCATTATACGATGCAACATAATATAATAATAATATAACATGATACGGTTAGCACTATTTTTTTCTTTATTTCCATTTACCAATGTTAATTGCCCAGTATTGTCTATTATAATATAATATTATTTTACTTAATACTTTATGCAATATACTGTACCTAGTATTACAGTATTATATACAATATATAATTGGCTTCTGCAGATGATTACGTAGTATAATTTATAATATTACATCAAAAGCCATTCGTGCATCCGTGTATGCATACTGTATGCAGCTAATAATATTAGGCATATATGTCTTATAGCTAATATTGTATCGGTTGAGTAAAATAGAGTTATACGTATAATGTTACATAAATAATACTTTTAAAGCATCTATCATATTTTTCTAGTTAGTGTAAGATGTAGACATGTAGTGATAAAGTTGACTTTAATTTCAAGTGTTTTTTATTCAAGTCGATAGTTACCAATTTTATGACAATATCGAGTTATGGATGAAATTATGATAAATCACATATATCATTAAAAATTAGTATTTTTTTTTTATGTTTCACATGAATATATGATGTACATTACATAAAATAGTATGCAAATAGAGACGAATAATTATATTTTTCTTAAAATAAATACATGATGAAGAGTAAAGTTATTTTAAAACAATGTCAACAAATGTTTAATAAGAATAAATTATGATAGAAATTATTTTCAAGAAAATTATTTTTTCCAAAAATGTATAACTATATTGAAATGTAACTACTGTTTTTATATTAAAAAACTAAAACAAATTTTCGGTTACTTAAATTACTTTTAAGAATACATGGACCCCACAACTTGAAAAACTTCATTATTAATATCTTTTATTTTTATTTCAATAAAAGCCATTGTAATTTTTTTACTATGGTATTTAAATTTCTTAAAACAAATACCTAAGATTGTTTAAGATAAATACAAAATACTCGTATTACAATGTAAAAATAATTATATTATGCAATTTTATCATCTGAATAAGTATACAATTCACGAATATTAGCATACTAAACAAAAACAATTTATCATATATTTTTAGTAAAAATATATAAGTTTATATTATTTTTTTAATATTTTAATTCTTATTTCACAATAATAAAATGTATTTGTTTTAGGTAATATTTTACAATTATGTGTGTTTTGACAACACTTTTCAGAGCAAAAACTTTGATTTAATTTTCAACTTTGAGAGTAATTTCTGATAAAAAATATTATTTAGTTAGTACTTTGACAGGTTGAAACACACGGAATTTTATCATTTTTTTTTTTTTTTTTATTACTGTAAAAAAAAAAAAAAAATTAAAACAGAAGATAACGGAAATATTTATGTACGACCAGCTTTTTGCAAGATAATTTTATTGTTGTTGTAATTTAAAAATAAATAAACTTAGAATATACATATAATTTGTATTGTTAATGTAAAGTATCGAAAAGTTAAAAAAATATGTATACAGTAGAACCTTGATAGTCCGGACGAATTCAGACCGAGCATCATCCAGATTATCGGAGGGTTTTAACTATTACTTACTCAAATGACTAAGATTTTTATTTTTAATTCCTCCACTTTTATTATATCTATTGCACTTTAAATTATAAAAAAAAAAAAAAATAGTTTATAATAATAGAACTCAAGTATAGTAGTCAGTAATTTTTATCTGAAAAATATTTTTATTTTCGAACAAACTACAAATGTATTTACGAACAAATGGACTTATACCGTCCGGATTACCTGCGTACACCGGATTATCGAGGGTCCGGACTATTGAGGCTTTACTGTATTTATATATAAGCGTTTAGGTTAATTTTTACATGTTGTAGATATAAATTAAAATTAAATAACGATTTTTTTTTTCACAATTTAATTAATTAAATAAAATTTTAAAATATTAATTGTAAAATATGAAATTATTAGCCATTTGTTGCTTATAATATTTTTTTTTATACTTAAACTATGACATTTTTTAAACCTACTTAAACTAATTTAAATTAAAAAAAAATAATGATACCATACAAATTATTACACCATTATATATTATGATATGTTGGCTGGCTTATTAGTTAATAATAATAATATAACATATTTGATTGAATTGTAAAAAATATGGTTTAGGTTATCATTCTTATTAATAGAAAATAACATTCTTTCCTCAAGATATTGTTTTTTATATATATATACATATATAATTTAAATTTAAAATTTTCGTTTATATTATTAAAAAGTGGAGTAAGTTACCCCATTTTTTAATTCATGTAATGTGTTGGTTTATTATTTTGTCTTTTATAAGTACTGTAAATAATATAATTCATATTATAAGTCTCTGTAATGTTTGAATTATAATAACTTGTTTAGAAAGCTTAATAATAATAATAAATTTTAATGAGAAGAAATCTTTTTACTTTGTGTATAAATTATACATTATTAAGGAATAAATAAGCCCATGTCTTACTATTTTACTTAAAATCTTCCTTATATATTAAATTTTTTTGTCATTCTTTGATTTTTAATTTTGGTTCTATTACATATAAAAAGATTGCAATTATTTTGGACATTAATTTAAAACCAGATTAAGCATTTTTAATTTTTTTCCGACGTTTTTTTCAACTTAACTGCAGCCATCCCATACACTGCGATCACATACGTACTGCGGTCGTGCCATAATTGTATATTTTTTTAACGTATCGGTCTTTATAATTTTAACCTACCCTATAATAATATGATAATATTGATACAAATTAATTTAATCAATAAGATGCTTTATAAGTTGTAGATTTGTTCTGATTAAAAACATTAAAAATTGTTACTTTAGCATATTTTTATGTATTTTTATGTAAAACCGTTTGAATTTTAAAATTGATCAAAATCACGAAAATATATTGATTATTTTATAGTTGAGAATTTATTAAAGTTTGTGTTTATTAAAAAGAGTAATGACTACAATGAATTCATAAAAAAGTACAGTAACCAATTTTGTTTCCATGTAAATGAACAACGAGAATAAAATAATTGGGAGGTCATTTGCAGTAAGTAATGTCACCTAACAAATTAAATTTGATTTTAAAATCTATGGCTTTAAAAAGCTATAAAAAGTTCCTCAAAAAAATTGTTCTCACAGAATTCTAAAACTATCTAAAATACATATGAAGAATGATATTATTTAAACATTTCAAGTTTAAACGTTTTTGAAATTTTATACTAATCAACATAATAGATATAGTAAGATATCTGACCGTGTTCTCCGCTTCGAATCTTTTTTTGTGTAGGTACATTGATTTATCATTGAATTAACAAATCAATCACAATTGAATTACTCGGTGACAATATGCACTTTGAACCTCCTATATGACAGAAAAGGGGGACAACTACTCATTTTTATATTATGCAAGATTTGATTTTGGCTAGGTAGGTTAGGTAGTATTTTGTATGTAATATTTCTCATTAACTATTTATATTTTAATACGTAATTGATTTGTTATAAATTGAGTACACACAATTCTTTACATATTTTATAATCAATAATAATAATTTGTATATTAAAATGTAAAATGATAATATTAATAAGTAAATTATATATTTACTAATAATGGTTATTTTTATATTCATTATGTAGAAAACAACTATAGATTAAAATATACAAAAATAGTCATTATAGACGATATGAATTAATTCAGACATTAGATATACACTAAAATTATCAGTAGTAACCGTAAACATAAAAAATGTGGATTTCATTTAAATTAATAATATTACTGACCTTATAGTGAAAATGTGTGGTTGGATCCACTACGAATGACGAGCTCCAAAAACACTTTGATGATCTTTTTTTCTCCATTTTTGCGTTCGCCATTTTTGTTTCGAACCAGTCCGGTCCAGTAGATCTTTCGTGCACCTTTCTTGAGCTGCCCCATTTATTCGACTGCAAAAGCAAATATTTTATACTTTAAAAAGACAGTTGACTGGATATCTAATCTTCTATGCTTTTATGTTATTATTATTTTTTTTTTTCGTAGGGTTGGGCTGCGAGAGATTATAGTGGTAAAAGCAAAATAAAATGTCTGTAAAATGTCAACAACGCATAAAATAATTTTTCTATAAATGTATAGTCGAATATATAAATTGTTTCTCAAAAATTAAATATTGAAGAATAATTTTTACTGTTAAAAAGTAATCACAATAATTACAGTACAACTCAACAATAATATAAATATTGATATTATATTGTATTATACGGTAAACGAATAATTTATTCCTTTTTCGTAATCTAAAATACTGATTGTCAGATTATTTATTTACAAAACTAATAATAATAACAATGATAATACAATAATAATTTTCTATTCATCATTTTGATACTTAAGCATTTTTTTGGTATACGGCGTGATTCATAAATGTGTTACACTCTTATACAGGATAATACTTCTCAACTTGGGGCAATAATTTGAAATATTATCCATTGCCCGCAATTCATTAATAAATTAACCAATGTATAAAACAAATACTAAATGCTAATTTAACGATTCTAAAATGAATAAAAAAAAATCACTCGATGTACTATAAATTTTAGATATTCTGTTTTATTATCCAACCAAAAGCGTCTGAATAAAATACTTACTTAATAAAATATTTTTCTGGCAATAATTATAACCACGTATTATCGATTTTCTGTAACTGACTTTCGAACAACGGACCATATTTTTTCCAGCTCGGAGTTAAAGAAATCTGAACAAGTTTCCGAATAATATTTGGATCATCATCAAAGAACCTTTTGTGAACCTTTTAAAAATTAATTAAAAGCGTTTTAAATAACCCAAATTAAATCAGCAGGTTTTAGTATTAAATTATTGTTCATGGATATTGTTGAAAATTGTTATTGTTTATTTTAAACAAAACATTATTCGGGGAACCTATGTAAAAAATAAATTCACGCACACTTTCTACTTATTTAATATATGTTAAAAAACTACACGCATAATGATCTGTGATCTAGAAAACGAAAATAAACTTTATTCTTCATGGTATCTTCAAATATTTACCAGTGAAATTATTGGAAAGATACGTAATATAATTTGAAAGAAATGGACATTTAAGTGGTTTTCACTTACATTATACAACGATAACATAATGTCTCACTTGTCGAATAATATTTAAAACGAAATCTACTACTTATATCCTTAAAGCTTAGATATTTATCATAATTTAATATATATATATATATTGTTTTGAGAAATATATGATTTTTTTTTGTGCATACCACAATATTCTATACATTTAAAATCCATACTTGTTTTATGTCTTTATTTTTAAATAAAAGTATTTGTATTCTGTTTTTCAATTAATGATAGAATTTTTATAAACAAACAAAATCATACTTCTATACATCAATGTTAAAGTTAAATTTCTTAATATTTTTTCATGTTATCATATTATAATATGATTTTGCAATAACATGCTATATTATAAATTCCGTGTAAAGAAATCGATTAGTTTGTGAAAAAAAACAACATAATACGTATTTCAAAATATCCAGGTAAACAGTTTGAATTGTGATTTAAAATGCATACTTAATATTCTAATTTTTGAAACATTTTTGAAATTTCAATAACCAGGATGGTTTTTGTTAATTTAAAAAATCTTATAACTATATCAGTTATAGTACGTTAAAAAAAAAAAAAAAAATAAAAATATTAATGTTGTTATGCCTGCAATATGTTATGATCATACTACAGAATATTATTACAATTAATTTGACAATTTATTAGCATAGTTAACAGCACATCATATTGTATCAAGTAAAAAATTACTCAAACCAAGGTGTATACATTAACCTAAGGTTTGTTACTATTAATGCAATGTATACCTTCAGTATATGTATACGGTTGTTGCGCATATTAATGGCGCCGGCATTTCGTTTGTTTGATTTCATTTAGGTCACACTAAAATTGTAGTTTTTTATTTTTAAGAATTACTGCATTGCAGTCACTAGATGAATGGAATGAAAAATTATTTGAAAAAAAATGACATTTAAAAGTGTGTTTTTCAAAGTGAAGGCTAACATCTAAACGAATATATTATGATGTAATATTAAAATTTACATCATATTTATTTATACCTCTATAAACGAAAAAACCATAATTTTTGTTTACTGCAGTGATTAGGTCCTATAATAATATGTCATACCATGACAGATATTGTCGAGACTCATACTCCGGACACGTAGTTTGAACACACGCATTTCTTTTCTACCGTTTATTCATCACAGAATAATATACGACACGAATTGTATAAAATAACTTAATAGGTGAATTGATATCTCAGTTCCGGATTGTCATTCGGGTAGAGAACTCGTACTTGATCCCGACATTTCGCCAGGAAACAAATTACTGAGTTGTTGTCGCGAATGAAGAGAAACGAATAATTTATTTGTCAGTAATCCCGTATCTTCAACGAGGACACAGAACAGCCAGTTAATGGGAAGTACACAATATAGTTGATGGCTCGGAACCAGATGCACTACATCACTGTTCATTCAGAACGTCTTTAAACCTATTGCACATTGCGAGGGAGGAAGATGTGAGGTCTACATGTTTGGCAACAATTACAAGAGACTCTTAAAATACATTAAACTACACACACTTACACGATATTAACGATTGTTCGTATAAACTTAAATAATATAAAATTAACAATTGGTACTTAATTATTATAATCGTGTTGCAATAAACTAACGGTGTCATGAAATAGTAATCATTTTATTTTATATTCCAAATGGTTTTTTTTTTATTATATATTAATCGTAACATTTGTATTAATACAAGTAAGTCTGCAACTTGTTGTTATATAATAAACTGATTGAATATTTAACTGTAGAGTCATTTATAATCTTGTATCTATAATGAAAATGTAAATCGATTAGACTTTAAGTTTTTTTTTTTTTACATTTTTTACTATAATTAATAAGAATTTTTATGATTTAGGATATTGCGTCAAGAGGTACCTAGTTGTTACAGGAAAATATTCATTTACTTTACTGCACATTTGAACTATAAATTATTTAAATCGATAATAGTTTAACCCTTTCAGACCCCAGGGTCATTTTTGTGACCCAATATTTGATTCTCCGATTACGTATAAATGTGCAGTGTATGGCGAACGTTCTGTATACGTATCAATGTACAAAATTCCGTAGAATACGATTATGTAATTATTATCCTCGTAATAACTTTTGGTCGGTTTATATTGGTATATTTCTAAATAAAAATAAAATCTGAAAGGGTTAATACATTTTATTATATGAAATAACTATTCGTCCAATAATTTTATACATACAATTATTATTATGCAAAACATTGTGTCATAAAGATTATAAAATTAAAACTCTATTTAAAAATCAAAAATCAAAAATATATATAAATTTAGTATACACGAAACAGGATACATACAATAAATAAAATCATAAAAACCATAAACCCGTATGATTTTTACAAAATTAATTTTTATTTTTAAATTATGAGAAATTACTGTTGAAATAATCTTGATGGTATATAATATATATATCAAATAATGTAATTCAAATATTATAAATGTAGGATAATAAATAATAATAGTAACAATAGTACACATATTATAATGAACTAAAATATTCATTCAAAACTCGTATTTTATGTTTTAAATTTTTAATATTTAGAATTATTGTAGCAGCTGGTTCTAGTAAACCTTGTTTGTTAATTGAATAATTATTTTATGATTGTAAAAAGGGCGCATACTGCTCACAATTTTGATGTAGTAAAATATACTTAATTTGTTTTGAAAAATTAACCAATTAACTTTATTATCAATATAATATGTGTGATTTAATCTGTATTTTTAATTTATTTGAAAACACGAGAGAAATTTTTTTAAGCATATCGTTAACCTTTAAAATACCTATTTAAATTAATTAATTTGAATTCGCAATTTTTTAAAAATAATAATAACCCAATTGGAAACGTTCGTCAGTTAATAAAACGATAGAAAGTATATTATTATTATTTTTTTTTTATTATAAGTATAAACTATTTGAATAATATTCCCTCATTTGTCATTATACGTTTTCAATTAAAAAATAATACGGGGTTCGTGAATTACTTATTAGTTGAAATAAAGTTTTTTTAATGAATAATATAATCATTTCTATGATGTACTATAATATAATAACCTTAATAGCTAAAAAAATACGATATAGACTTATAGTGAGGTAATCATATTTAAAAAGATAAAAAACAGGACAAACATAATAATCATAATATTTTTAAATTTATATTTGTTACATCTTTTTTGTTGATTTTTAACTGTGAAAAGTATAATTTTTAAATTATTTAAGATATTAAAATTTAAACACATCAAAATATTATTTTTAAAAACATAAAATAATATGATTAAATTAAATTAATACTTTTTAAAATTTCCTTTATTCATGTATTTTAATTTAAAAATAAAAAATTTAGATTTTAAACGATACTTATATAATACATAAATTTCAAAGTGTGTGATTAAGATAACGTCTGTGCTCAACGTGGAGCTATTTTTATCGGTCTGTACTTAGAATAATAAAATATTTATTAAAATAATAGTAATAATACTAAAAATTTTATAACGAACAGGTTGCAGCCGGTCGCGTTGGTTGATAATAATAATATTAGTATATACATACGGGTTACGTTGCCGACAACAATGTGATTCAGTAATAATTATGTAAAAAAAAGAATCAAAAAATGCTACTGAAAAGTATAGATTCTTTTATTCTATTCAATAATGCCAAATAAAAATATCGTAAAAAATGATTTTTTTATGAAATTAATTTCAAAATTTCAAAACTATAATGGAAAGTAAGACAAAAAAACAGGATTAATACGAGATAGATTTGAAAGTAAAATACAG